GTCCAATCGGTAATCATCAGCTGCCAAGTGGCGTTATAATATGGTTATCGAGCTCCGCGCTTGTCTTTGAGCCAATCATCCCGGACCTCCAGGTCGGCTCTTGAACATTCAATCTTCTCCTGGTCTTCGGGAATCATTTCTTCAACTCGGCAATTGGCGAGGTCGGTACTGCTCGTCAGATGGTAAGGGTGCCGACCTCGACAATGACGTTATTCGGCGGTCGCAATCGTCTTAATTTTGCGGTCAGCTCGGCACTTCCATAATTATCTGGGATTCCGGTCCGAGTTTTGAGGTCGTCCCCTTCCGGTTCACGTTTGGCTAACTCGGATGTCAACAAACCAGTTCAAAGATCTTTCTAACTTTCAAGAAGAATGCATACCAATTTTTCGAATTATCATCAATACCTTATGATAAGTTATTCTCGGAATATGCTAAAATTTAAAAATCACACCCTATTGATTTGTAACAAATCAACCGAAAATTTGACTTTCGTACCCAGAACAAATAAAATTTATACCGCTTATTTTAATATTTAAATTTATAAATACACTTCTAACTATACCAAATAAAATCCATAGTATTAAAATTCGGGATTTTTATACTAAAAATAAAATTGCTCACTTTATACCATAAATTCGGACAATTATTAATAACAACACATTTCCTACCCAAAAAAAAAAATGACCAGGTACCTCAAATAAAATCGTCCACTTTATCAGTCAATTTATTAACTTGTCAACTTTATATCTTAAATTAATTAATTAATCTCTAGAGATGAGATTTTTAATTTGAAAATTTTCAAAAAGATTACCAAACTTAGTAACTTTAAAAATTTTATGCGGAATTTTAGTTTCTATTTATATATTGGTATGTGATCAAAGGTAAAAAGTATATTGACTATAGTAATAGTCAATATCTTATACACTTAATCATTTGAAATAACTGCTTTGACATTTTTGCATAAGTGTGGTACAGTTTTCTAGACGTTTGTCGTTATGTCTTTGGAAGCGAGACGCATAGACCCGTATGCCTAATAGAGGACATATTTCTCACGCAGAAAGAGAATTCGGAGACGAAGTCGGCCGGAGGTCTTAAGTATTTGAGTTTTGACAATACATGTAAGTTTAATTCGAATAATCACTTTTTGGCAGACCTCCACACTCCTTAGTTCTTGATACTACATCAAATGTTTGGGAACACTGAACCATGAGTTGCATTTGAAAATAGAAACTCCGATTATATTACAGAACATGAACCATTCTATGAGACTGTACAATGACCCACTTGATTGTTACGAAGCTCTCCACTCATTTGCTTGAATATAAGATATTGACTGGAGATCACTCTCACCTATTGATTCAT